CACGTCGGGGGATGATATATCTTTTTAGAAGAAACGGCTGAGCTTCCAAAGCACATAGATCTTACAAAAATTATATCCTAAAACGAAGAATCAAGCTCTACGAGTTGCATCAATCACAACTCACAACTGTTTCTCTGTTTCGAGGTGTTCCCTGTTTGGAGACGTGTTCCGAAAAGGAAAAAAAATTCCAGGTGATGATTTCTTTTGATCATTGAAACTTGCGTAATGTTTTTGATCATTCTCCGTCTGTTAATTTGTTATGGTTTGCTTATTTTCGGTGATTGTTCTATTTTCAATTGATAAAAGAAAAAAAGGATCGAACACAAAGAGCTAGTGGTTGGGAAGGAGTAACATAGACAAATATCGAAACTTCATGCTTTATAACCCACAAATAACCGGTAAAATTCTTTATCTCATCAAAATAGTTAGTAAATTAAATTAATAATTAGCAAACCAACATGCTAAATAGAGGACAAAATTAATGATACTTGTAGGAAATTAAAAGAAATTTTAAAATAGGAGAAATCGTTGCATATTCATGAATCTTTGTCACTAAACATGCTAAATAAAGGAGTATATATTTTTTTATTTAGTTTTGGATTAACTTTCGTTTCCAATTATCTTAGGTTGAGAATTTTTACCTTTTTTCTTTTTGGATATATACTTTGCTTTGCGTATGAATTTCAGTTTTTACCGGATTTTATAACGATGTATCTATGGTGTTATAATTAAGTACTTAAATTTTCAAAGAATGTGAGTCACACTTACATTACGTTAGCTCATTGACTGCATTAATGCTAGCGTTGAGGATCCTAGCCCTTTGCAATGTGAGAGTGACAATACAATAGCTGAAGTTGACCCATTTATAATGGTCGATAGTTTAGCTGATCAAGAGGAAGAATTTGCCACCTTTTATGATGTTGTTGATGAAGAATTAGATTCAGATCCAGATGATGCATCATATGATTCTCAAACAACTAGTGAAGACGAGTTAAATTGATTTACTCTGTTTTTTTTTTCAAGAACTTTTTTTTATAAGGTGTTATGGGATCGTTTTCATCATATGTAATTCAAACTCTAAAGCTAGCTTCTATTTTGCTCTAACGTTTGTCATGTTCAATAGAAACAAAGTATTAAACACAATATTTTTGTATGAGTTTTGTTTAATTTTACCTTTGTTTT